CAACCCTGTTTCAGACAGCAGCGGCTAGACGTGCTGACATTCAATAGTACGGTATACTGCAATATTCAACACACCTTGGTCACTGCATTTTAGTCAAACAAGCTGCAGTTTCAGCAGAGATGTTTTAGTTACGCAGAGTAGCTCTGGTTTCACAAGGTTCCACTATGCTGTCACATTGTAATCTCATTGATATCTAATGTCTGTATAGCTGTTTTAGCTGTTTTGTACAGATGTTTAATCCCTTAGAATTAAACAAGCTCTGTTACTGTGCCTTTAAATAAGTTATGTTCTTATTTGCTGCCCTGTATAGTGTCTGATTCAAAAAGAAGTCCAGGCTTGAACACTCCTTATAACGTCAGTGAGAATAGCCAAGGTTAAACTGCTGGAGGCTGATACGTAAATATGTTGGTTTCCATGACATCACGAAGACAGTGAATTCAATATGGGCTGTTGTTGCAGTTTAGTTTCTACGATATGGACTGTAAGAACTTTTCAAAACCGTAAAAAGCTGAACTATGCACAAATTTTGCTAAAACTGTAAAGTAGCATTGCTGCGTCAGGAAGAAAAAAAAAAAAGCCAAAATATGGTTTCCATGCGAGTCGCCCTGTAAAGCCTAAAACAGTAATTTAAAAGTCAGAGTTGTCGGGTCAGATTTCGTGGGAGTTTTTTTTAGACCCAGTCATACGTCTTTACGTACTAACATCACAGGCACAGGCTCAAAATAAAGGTCTGGCTGGATGTTGGTCTCAAAAGCAAACTCACTACTGTACTGGTAAAGATTTGATGACAACAGTAAATAATTAGCTTATAGCATATTTCAATGCGCTTGAAATCATCAGATGTATCCACCTCCCCAAAACTTACATTTTACTTACATTTTAACAATATTTAGATAATACATCAACCTCTTATTTTTTAAAAGGTGAGGTTTTCTATCATACAGGCCCTTTAATGAAGAGCCATCAGGGAATCTTTTTTCAAAGACAGAAATTTCCAAAATGTATAACCACCATTACCGTACTTAAACATTCAGAACACCACTGAAATGCAAATTTCATGAAAAAATATGTATCGCCATTTCTGCATCTTGCTATGATACATTTTCGATACAGCAATTGAACAGAAATGCTAACAAAACTGTATATTTTGGTGATTCTCAAAACGTCATTTTTTGTAATTCCCACTGATCTCTCTAAAAGACAAAAGTGCTTTTTGAAGGGATAACTGGCACAAGTCATTTTCTCAGATGACATAAAGAAAAAATATAAACCAAGTACAATCTCTATTTTACAGTACAACAAACAACAAACTATATGGTTACATCTCGATATTAAATTACCTGAGCACTGCAAGTTCATTTACCATCTGATCTTGCGTTTCTATATAAAGGGTGGCTCTTACCTTTTGGCTGAAATGAGTTAGAGGGGTTTACTAATGTTTGTTTTACCAGTTCAAAATTGGCACTTAGTGGGCATTTGAACTCTGTTAGCTCAGTAGCTGTGGAGACTCTTTTTTCCTCTGAAAGGCAGAAGGTGGCTTCCTACTTGCCAGTGTTTTTGTAAAAAAAAATTGAGTCCATCTTACATGATGCAGCAGTAATATGTAACTGCAGTTCCATTTAAAGTGGAACAGAAAATCTGAATAGGAAGCTGGCTTACTTTAGCTTCATGTTTTCTCTGGTAACTGAGACACTTGAGTTGTTGAGTCTTCACAAATGAGTTAGTGTTCGGCCTGCATTAACCAACACTGGCACTCTATCAACATGCAGTCTACCAATCCTTGTCGATCATTACTGTACTTGACCGAAACACCTTGCCATTTCAAACAGCCTGACTAATCAACCATCCAAACCATTTTTTTCCAGTTCTGAGAGCTGTGCATGTATCACATTTGGGAATTTTATGGATTGTGTTAAACAGAACGTCAGAAACCATTCCCATTATAATGCATTTTATAACATGAAATATAACTGGATTTGATTCAGAATGCACATCATCTTGCGACCTCCATATAAAAAAAATTAATAACATGAGTATAGTGAGAGCCCTTGTAATTATCATGGTATTACATTCTTATATCAGGACATGCCCAGCAGCAGCAAAATGTGACTGTGAACTTGAAGGCCCTGAGTTTTAACACTGATGAATTATAATAGCCTAGAGGGTAACGGGTATAATGAGCATTCTTAACCAATATTGATGAAGCTACATGAGGTCTTTCACCCTGAGAGTTATTATAGTGCTCAAGACTCAGGACAGAACCAAAGTATGACATTTCCTATTCATTTTAATTACACAGTACATACCCACATAACCAGGTGTACTGAAATTCCAACACTTGATAAAGACCTAACTGTGTCCATATGAACTCATAGGAACGCTCCACACCAAGGAGATTCGGGCATTTAGAGCACTCGATTTCCAAATACTGATTGTCCACTTGATTGGCCATATTAATTCACAACACATTCATTTTACAATATGTGTACTGTGTTTTTGCACCGTAATATAGTACATTTGTGATACAGATAAAAATTGCCAACATTCATTATGTTTTTAGTCAAAGACCTAAACAAGGCCTCATCATTTGGTAAAATCACAGTAAATCTAATTAAAAATTCTTATAAAATCAATAAATTCAAATACACACAAAGTGAAAATGGCTCTATTTGCAGTGGTTTTCTAACTTTCGTGGTTGCCTCTTTTAAGAATGTCAGAGTGCTTTTAATGTTTTAAGAGGAAACACTTCTACCTTATGTCAGAACATCTGAAAAAATACTTTTAGACCAAAAACATTTTTACTTTTTTCACAAACAGGTTTACAGTATAAATATTAACAGCATTTCATTCATATTATAACACCCCTAATACATGTACACAAAACATTCACTGAAAAAAAATTTTAATTGAATATCTCACAGCTTTCATGTGCGTCACCCTCTTCACTCAATGCAGAGAGTAATGAGGGCTGCTGGGCTCAGCAGAGTGTGAACAGGAGCCATGGCTTCATGCTCAGTCGACAGCCACAGAGTAATGGCACATTCTCCCTCTCTCTCTCTCTCTCTCTCTCTCTCTCTCAGTCAACAGTCATAGACAAGGTAATGGTTCGCTTACACATACACACCTTCTTCATTTTCATCTGTGCCAAGCATAACAAACTGTCTACTTCACACACTCCCACACTGCAGGCCCCCGACTCTCTCTTTATCCCCCTCTGTCTGTCTCTGTCCCCCCCTCTCTCTGTCTCCAGACAGTGGTCTCTGAGTGTTGGAGAATAATCACAGCAGTGGCACATCAGTGCGGGCTTTCCTAATGCGCCATCAACGAGCAGTAAAGGAGGAAACCGGCTAAGCTACTAAGTAAGGCACTGTGGCAGCACATGACTGGCAGTTTTAAAGCAAACTCTACTTAACCAAGAAGTGGTCTACCAGAAAAAAAATCTTAATTTATTTCTATATGCAAGGGTTCTTTTCCTAATCAAGACCATTCAGCTTAATATCTGGACTAGGGCTGTCAGTCAAATAAACCTGATGAAAAAATAATCGATTAAAATGAACTTCTTACTAAATCAGCTATGATAAACTGGCAATTTGCTTGAAAATAATGTGCTTCTAAAATTCTCTTACAGGTCTTATACACAGTCGTTTTTCCATAAGCATTTTTATATATGCGATTTTAGTATTTTATAATCTTTAAAAGGGTATGCACATTATGTTAAGTATTAAAAAAAAAATCATTACTCGATTAATGACCAAAATAATCTGTAGATTACTGAACGATTAGTATAACCGACAGTGACCATCACATTCTGAATTGAATGTCTTGATCTTTTTCTAAAGCGACAAAAACAGCTATTACAAAAACAAGACAGGATCGTGTCAGGAGATACAATTTGAAGCCAATAAAGAAAAAGTCTTGACTGTTTATTTGAAAAAGTCCAAAATACACCCCATACTCCTTTTACATTTTCATGGGCACTACTCCCTGCCTTGCAACCCTGGTTCTTCGCTTCTGTTCATCTAATGGAACTGAGTGAACTGACTATCAAGATGCCCTTCTTCATCGTCTTCCAAGATCCTATTGAACCGCTGGAGAGAGAGACAGTTATCTTCAAGCCAAGGCTGAACACCAACTGCATTACATGTCCTAGCGCTGAAGGCCCAAGCAAGCCTGTGTGAGGATTCTGCAGACGTCTGTCTCTGGTGACAGTCCGATTGGGAAATAAAATGGCAAAAAATAAAACTAAAAACAACTGCGATCACAGATTTAAAGTGAAACTATTCAACTACGTATTCGTAATCAAAGGAGCAAAAACAAATCCGCATCACACACAGATTACCTTCTCATAGCTTCATAATCTCGTCACATTATCACATGACTCCCGGGGCCAATTTTCCAACTTAAAGCCAGTATCTAATGTTCAGGATAAAGCTTAAGGTGTTACTCTGGAAAGATTAAGAGTGGAAATGGCTTTGTATCAGCAGTGAAAGGTAACTTCATCCAGTATATACCACATAATGAGGATCTCCCTCTGACAGCTGTACAATTAAGTATAATCAATTCGTGTATTAAGGTGAGACCAATACATTGACGACAGTGTGTGTTATTTATGCTTTGCTGAATGCCATTGACGCCCCTTAAGGCACCAAGGTAAAAAAACTTTCTAAAATCATCAAAACAAGATTTAAAGGGAAAGAAAAACAGAGAAATCTTTTTCCAACAACCAAGTAAAAACCCTGTTTTAAACACTGTAGGTTGATTAATCTGGAGACTCAGGCAATTTGCACCTAAATTTACCTGACAGAACTAGAGTACAGGCCTAATACTAGTGCTGAGATGAAGTAAAGACAGGGAGGCAGCTGGGAGCTGGTCTCAGTGCATCGTTTGGACAAGGTATGTAGAGCTAGTATGAAAAAATAACTGCATTTCATGCTGTACTCAGTAGACGACATTGCGTTCATATGGAAAGAAGACAGAGAGAAAGAGAGAAAAGCACTTACCAGCCACGGGGCTCAGCAGCAGCACGGCGCAAAGCCCCAACGCCAGAACAGACACCCGGCCCAAGACTGCCATCCCGTCCATGGTTTTTCCTCCCTTCTGAAGTGTTAGAGCACTGCTCCGAGTCAGGGCTGTATTTTTCCTCCTTTTCTTCTTTCCAGTCGAGTATCCGAGCTCATTCGCTCGGAGGGAAGAGTACAACAGCAGAGTGAACGAGTGCGACTGTGAACGGGCGACACATGATTTTATTCCCTGCTTCAGGAACAGCTTCGCCCCGAGTGCCGTGTCTGGGTTAACGGTTAGCTTCAATCGATCCGTCTGCTTTCCAGCAAGCCAGCTTAGCTAGCTAACCAAGCACTGAGAGTTTGCGGCAGGATTAGCAAGATCGCTATGTGACTTCCTTACATTTCATCTGGCTGTATTTCGCCGTTAACGTTAACGTTACTTGGCTAAAGCTAGCGAAATCTCCGCCGTCCCGACATCAGCGAGTCACCAAAATAAAACTGACAAACCGAAGAGTCTCTCTCTCTCGGCTAACTCGGTACCTAGTGCTGAATCTAAACAGCTGACAGGGGTTTGCTAATTTTAATTTCACCGCAAGCAGCTCCCTCGATGTGGCTGAATTCTCCGACGGCTGTCCTGACAGTCCATTTCGGTTAGTTAGCTACCGAGCTAGCTCCGTCAGCTAGTAACAAACATTTGGCAGCTTCTTACCACCTGGCTCCCCCTTTTTCTTCACTCACAGTCGAGCAGTTTTTTGGGACTCAGACGGTGTCTATGAAAAATGCGACGAGATTATCTGCCAGAAATCCAAACTGCGGCGTCGAGCCCGTCGGGTAAAATCTTCCTGAACAAGCTGAACAAGACCGACATGAGGGGGTAAAATCGGTCTGAATAGCTTTGCGTTTGAGTCCAAGCCAAAAAAGGGGCCTTTAACGACGAGATAAGACTCTTAAATACACATGACCGCGAAAAAAACAAAAAACGAGGCACTGTTTTGCAGTTCAGATCGAAAGCCCTTGTATTTTAGCTAGCTGTAACGCATTTCCAGGGACGAGTCGTTTTCCCCCGTCGACTCCTCCAGCCAGCCGTGCTCTGTAAGTTCGCCTGTTCCCGCAGACAGACGCTGCAGGGCGGCCGGCCTCCCCCTCCCTCTCCCCTTCTCTCTCCCTCCCTCCTGTCTCTCTGCTCTGCCTCTTAAACAGCCCCCAGCAGCAGCCAGGGAGCTGAGCAGTCTGGTCTTCACACAGTATTAGCTTCTCATTCAGAAATACATGAAGTTAGATTCATATTCCGATTTTCCGCTCCACCTTAAATGGTGCCGCAGTTACATTCTGGCGCCACAGTGTGCACAGTCAGCGATTAACAGACAAAATCACTTTATACGCCTTTTCACATTTACCGACTTTATAAATATTTGTGTACAGATCGTTTATGGTCATATGAATATTTATCCTTTTGGAAAAGGATTGGTTATTTATGACCCTTGTGCTGAAGATACCTTCTATTTCAGGTTGTCAATTACGACTTAAAATTATACATTATCTTACAACTGATGTAAGAGTAGAAAGAGTACTAGTTTACTCCTACAGTCGGACTTTACTGTAGTACAGATTTACTGAAGTGGTCGGAGCGCCCTCTAGTGTTATCACTGAGAAACACACAGGTGTCTGCTGCGTCAAAAACACACGTTCTTCGATGGGTTAAAATAAACCTGTTTGACACCAGGGCAAGCTGGTTAGTTAGTTTAAAGACAAATTAAAAGTTAAACAGCAGAAAATGAACGATAAGGACGTTAAACTGCCTGTAATCTTTTTAACACTACAGCAACATGTTCTGTGTCTAACTTGACGGCTACACTGAATGGTTATTATTCAAATATAGATATATCACTAGTTTAAACCACATTTTTTTTCTAAGAGAAAATTGTGTGCACAGCTTTTAAGGTGATTCAGGTGGTTTGTTAACAGCATTGCAAAATACTACTACTACTACTACTACTACTACTACTACTAATAATAATAATAATAATAATAATAATAAAGCAAATTCATTTCTGAATGTCAGTTTGTTTTGTGTGTGAGATGAGATCTATAATCTGACTTTCAAAATTCAAAATATAGTTTTACATACTGTAACAGTAAACATACTCTGAGTGTATACATGATCTCCCAATCCTACCTCACATCTGCTAGGAAGACATTCTTAAATATATCCACGACATAATAAAATATGTCTTAGCCACAAGACACTAAAATGTCTCCAAGTGTTTTGGAGAGTATATTTACAGCATAAAAATTTGTGGATGCTAATGTTCTCATAGCCAGATCATATTCATTAATAATGACCTATTAAAAAATAATTACAATCATAATCTACAATGGCTGCCTAATTGTATTTACATGATGACAGTCTGTGATCAGTTGCAGAATCCCCAAAACTGCAAAACTAAACATTTTCTTTTTAAATAATAACAATTAAAGCCTCAATATCATGACTGACACTATTTCCCATTAATTACCATGCATTTATAAATATCACTGTAATGGCCTGGTAATCCAGTATGTAGGCAAAAAGGCAAGTCCAGATTCCAGGCTTTGAATATACTTCATTAGTACATTTACTGAAACATGGAGTAGATGTCTCTGCCATGCCCTCCATTATTCAGGCAAATAATGAAACAGATATGATTTACTAGTGCTTTAATTGGAAGAGGAAACAATTAAAAAGTTAAAAGGTGAAAAAAAAATGAAAAAAAGAAAACAGAAAGATTCAAACATGGTGCAAGGAAGAAATAATTCCTTCCCATTAGAATTCATACTGTAAATGCAACTGGAATCTTAAAATGGATGCTGCAACCACACTTTGGCAACCTTAGCAAAAGGCTACCAAATAGCTGAATGTACAATGTACAGTGAGGTGCCACTTTGTTGAGAGAGTCAGTGTCCCTGCTGTTGTCCGGTATGTTACACCGCAGGGATTTGTGCAGCAGGGGTCGCAGTAGGTGGAGGCGTTTGAGACTATACTGCTTTCCAGTGTCCTCTTATTGACATGCTGAATGTACAATATACAGCGAGATGCCACTTTGTTATGAACACTCCAAAAGTTTGTAGACACCTGCTCATCCAATATTTCTTCTGAAATCAAGGTTATTAATATAGAGTTTGTCCCACTTTGCTGCAGTAACAGCCTCAACTCTTTTGGGAAGGCTTTACACTAGATGGTAGAGCATTGATGTGAAAGCTGGCCATCCTCTACCCATCTATCAGTGCAAAGGGCCACCATAGGACCACTGTTAACCAGACATAGTGGACCATTCTCAGCACAGCTGTGACACTGACAGGGTAGTGGGCATTGGTATACAAGTGAATAACTATGCGCATCTATATGGTAGGTGTTCCTGATAAAATAGCCAGTGCATATAAACACAAAAAAAGTTGAATTTATTTAGTACTGTATGTTTTAGCAGCTATTTATAATTTATAAGAATGGTCTGAAGGTACTTCTTTCTCAGCAGGTGAAGGGGGTGGGTTCAGTAATGCATGATGGTTAGTTAGAATCTTCTGTGTGGAAGGGGAAAGCTTACATGTTTAATGGTACTGCATTACTGGGACAAGTCGGGTGAGAGATTAACCCTCCAGAATGTTGTTTGACTGAACTAATTTTTTCGAGGAAACAAAGGGCTAATGGGCTGACTCTGCTCTATTTGACTGTATAGAAAATGGGTGCTATAATTCAATAAAGCTCATATAATTTGTTTCGTTTGTTGTGTTCGAGTTTGAGCTATGACCACTGACCATGTCCTTCACGTTTCTGTTTCTGATGTAGTTATGGTTAGGCTTTGGACTGCAGGACTGCTCTGCCCGCTTGGTATTGGGGAGTCAGTGTCCCTGCTGCTGTCTGGTGTGTTACGGCGCAGGGATTTGCGCAGCAGGGGTCGCAGTAAGTGAGTGGAAGCGTTTGAGACTTTACTGCTTTCCAGTGTCCTCTTGTTGACGTGCTGAATGGACAGGCGGCAGCGCAGCGTCTGCAGGAAGGCCGTGCGGAATTGGTGTGAGGACAGGTTGTACAGCAGCGGGTTCAGCACAGAGCTCAGGTAGAAGAAGATGTCTGCCACTAGCTGCAGCACTGCATAGGCCTCCAAATAACTCTTAGTCCACGCTGACTTGGGTAACGCTGCTGTCATTAGACGCCGGACCTGGTTTGGCATCCAGCACACCAAGAGTGCACACACAATCAGCACTACATGCAAAAACACATAAGACACATAAATGAATGCAGGTAAATTCACACAAACACATTAATACACATGTAAATATACATATTAACATAGACATACACTGATCAGCTGTAACACTAAAACCTCATCCTTGTTTCTACACTCTTTGTCCATTTGTTCAGCTCCATTTACCAGATAGGTGCACTTTGTAGTTCTGCAATTACAGTTTGTAGTCCACCTGTTTCTCTGCATACTTTGTTAGCCCCCTTTTACCCTGTTCTTCAGTGGTTAGGGCCCCCACAGGACCACTAAGCAGCAAGTATTCTTTGGGTGGTGGATCATTCTCAGCACTGCAGTGACCCCGACGTGGTTGTGGTGGGTTAGTGTGTGTTGTGCTGGTACGACACTCCTACTTTGTTGGTCTACCTTGTAGATGTAAAATCAGGAACAATAGCTCATCTGTTGCTGCACAGTTTGTGTTGGTCATCCGCTAGTGCTTCTTCAGTGGTCACAGGACACTGCTGACAGGATACTGCAGGCTGGATATTTTTGGTTGGTAGATATCAGTCCAGCAATGACACTGAGGTGTTTAGCACTACTGTGTCTGATCCACTTGTACTGCAGTGCTGAGAATGATCCACCACTCAGATAATACCTGCTCTATGGTGGTCCTGTGGGGGTCCTGACTGTTGATGAACAGGGTAAAAGGGGGCTAACAAAGTATGCAGAGAAACAGATGGACTACAATCTGTAATTGTAGAACTACAAAGGGCAGCTACATGGTAAGCGGAACTGATAAAACGGACACCGAGTGTTGTTGTAATGTTATGGCAGATCGGTGTGCAGTATTATGTAAAAGTCAGAGACCATCCTTTCATTGAATTTCCAGACATAATGACCATTAAGTATAGTCATTTTTCAGCATCAGGAAAAATCAGAAAACATATAAAAAAAAAATACAGAAAAGCCTCCAATACCAAGTATATCATCAAATGTGTTTAATTTGTCAGCTCTTTACTTTTACGCACTCTAGAGACCCTTTAAATCTTCCATCTTTCCTTAAAATCAACATGTTATAGAAAGAAAATTTGCGTTTTATAAAGAAAATAGACAAAAAAGAAAATTTGGACTACAACTCCAAAACTTGACATTTGAGATGTGGAGTAAGTTTTTTTGGACTGAGGAGTTGAAATTTGAAATTGTAGTTATTTAGATTGTGAGGAGGAGATAATGCAACCAATTTCTAAGACTGAACTTTAGAGGCTCTACATTATTCTGTGAATAAAGGAAACAAGTCTAAAGTGAATAGTTTCATCTGCTGTGATCACAGCTTTTAGCTATATCTGTGACAGCACTCCTTTAGAAATGCACAAGTGAAAACACATCATCAGCAACATCACAGGAGCCTCACTTTATCTCAAACAACCAACGTCATGATATGCTCTGAGTGTACATCTGTATACAGGACACATTCCTCACTCTGCTGTAGCCTGAGATAGTGAGCACAGGCATATTTAAGATACAGTGCAGGCCTGTACACAGTGGAGACATGTTAAAGATACAGTGAGTTTTGCAAACTTGTTTAATATTTTTTTAGTTAAAAATGTAGCAAAGATTATGTGAATAATGTGAAGTTAGGTTGTAAAAAGTAACCTGTTTACCAGATGGTTTGTCAACATGGACACACCGTCACTGATGTGGTGCACCATTCTTAGGAAGCACAAAAAGAAACTTGAGTGCTAATAGTTCCTTTGTGGAGAATCTTCAGCCTGCTAAATGTGAGTGAGTGTGAAACAAAGTTTCAGAATATACCAGTCACTGTCTAGTCCATACAGAAAGTATGTGGGAACTAAGATGCAGAAAAGTCCTGTTTTGAATGGTTTTTGTTTTAGACAGAAATAAGCTCTCTAGCCTCTCTGTTTCCCATTCCCCATATTAAACAGAAAAATGTGTTACAAACCACCCCATCCTGGTGAAACTTTATATATGTAAAAAAATGATTTTAGGTGAGAAAGTAAAAAAATGTTTTATTAGCTTGGTTAGTACTCATATTAATGGAGGTTAAATATTGTAATTGATATGGTCACTAACCAAGCTAATAAAACATTTTTTTACTTTCTCACCTAAAATCATTTTTTACATATATTTCACATAAAGTCTTCCATCTTTTCTTGTGACGTTTGTAAGCCTCTACTGTTAGGGTCTAAGGTCTAAAATAAAGTGCTAAAGTTTAGACAAGAGACATCAACAGCAAAGCTGCCCAGATACGGTCACTGATAGAACAAAATGAAACTAGCCTGGATGCTCCTCTCATTTTTGGTGAGTGCGAAAATGTCAAAAAGCAAAGCAATTCAGTTTTACACAGCCTTCTAGCATTTGCCCATATGTGGTGTTATTACCTAGGAATATGATGGTCTGCTTGCGGGACGTTTTGAGCCTGGCACTCTCGTGTTTGGGCACTCTGAGTTCAGCTCTGGGGCCTGAAGTAGCCACAGTGGTCATGGGGGCCTTGAGCACGACGATCATACTCTTGCACATGAAGGCCACCGCACCCAGCACCAACAGGTAGACTATGAAGGCAGTGAAGATGCTGGCACGGTACATACCCCAGTGCTGCCTCAGGCTGGTGCAGAAGGTTAGGTTCTGAGCTGGGGCTCCTCCAGCCTCCAGCACGTGACCCTCTGTTCCCGTGGCAACCAGCAGGGGCACAGCCACGAGGACGGAAGTGAGCCATGCAGCGATAATTAGGTGTACAGTCCTGGCCCTTGCCAGAGATTTGTAGCGAAATGGGTGGCAGATGGCCATGTAGCGCTCAAAGCTCAGCGTGACCACGTTCAGGATGGTGGCATAACTGCATGCCTCGAATAGGAAGTTATAGATCTTGCAGGAAATATTCCCTGAAGCAGAACTGAAGGGGAACCAGATTGCACTATAGAGCTCCACAGGCATACCAATCAACAGCACCAACAGGTCAGAGCAGGCCAGGCTCACCATGTGATCTGTCACGTTCTTTTGCAAGTACCCATTTCTCTGCAGCACCTGTGTCACATGGATGGTGATGCTGTTTCCCACGATGCCCAGGATCAGGATGAGGCTGTAGAGCACTGTGAGGATAACCTTCACCTCAAAGTGTGACTCCAGTTTCCGCCAGTCTTTCTCTCCCTCCTGCTCACCCATGCCTTCTTGCTCTCAGCCTCTCTGCTCCAATCCACCCTGTTGACTTTAGTCGAGATAGCCAGCCTTATCTTTCCAGGAACTCTACAATATCAGCACCATGAATCATGAAACCCATGTACGATTATTTCAAAGAATAAAAAGCAAAGCCTTTAGCTAAGGCGTGTTTTTATATGAGTTTCTCCCTTGTTAAATTCAAAATGGCCTTCCCCTACCTGTCCAGTCCAAAAGCTCCCACTCAGCCACTCCAGCTCACAAAGACTCCATAAGCACCAGTCTACTGGATCTTCTGCCTGGTCATCTGTCTACAGTTTCGCTGTAGATTTGGTTTGATCAAAGACACCAGCGCCTCTCTTTCTCCCTCCAAAAGCGTCCGAGTTAATGATTACAGCTGGACTCGGAGGGTGAGGTTGTGCGTGTGCAGATGTACTTGTGTGAATCGGTGTGAGCTGAGTGGACTGAGTGGACTTCACAATCACAGCACCTCTGGAGGTGGAGCCATTAGTCACATGCCCTATTTCTAACACAGAGGTGTGTCATGACCCTTGTGTCCACATACACAAATGTGCACGTTTGTGAACTTTCATAGTTCACATCTTTCAGAACAGACATAGTAGCATTTTCAGCTGGGGCACATGATAAAGCTCTCATTAATTGCTTAATGTAATCCAGACATGTCTAACGGGGTTGGTTAATCAAAGTTTGAGCCAAACCGCCCACCTCTGGACAGAGCCAGCCACGTTCAACTCTGCACTGACTCAAATAGTCTAAAGTAAACAGGATAAGAGCAGCAATCTGAAAGTATCCGACCCAAAGGAAAAGATCAGCTGGACTGGAGCAAAGATTCACTCTGCTGTTTATGCTCTTCAGTGATCTTTGCTTACATTTTTCATTCCTGAATTATGACAATGGCCAAAATCCACCATGAAAGCACAGCATTATGTTCTCTTCAAGTTTTAGCCTCATTTTCCAAAGGACACGTGACTCAAATCATCTACCTAAAGCATCTTCTCTGTAGCTTTTCCGTAGTCAGCCTTCAAAACCCCTTTCAGACTTTTAACTGGCTCTTAACTGGATTGAAATTCTTTTGCTTGAGTGAGCCTATAGCTTTTTTATGTTTATTTTATTAAAACAAATGATTGAACATTCCATTTTGTCACTAGCAAAACCAAATGTTTCGGTAGTGGTATTTTAGCTAATCTTGAGCACAACTCAAAAACGCTTGCCAGTACATGACTAGCGAACACAGCTTTGAACAGTTGTGCATAAAATCCACATTTTCTTCATTAAAACACAAGTGTAGAAAACGTATTTCGTAGTGACAGTTCTAAATGTTACATACTGATTTTTTAAAATTATTTTTAAAATAAATTAAAGTTTTTATGATCTAAAAAATAATCCCATAATACATCTAAATCTTTTGACGTCACTTTAAAAAAAATGAAAAAGACCTTAAAAACACAAAAAAGGTGTCAGAAGATTTTCACAGGTTGAAATTTAGGAGTTAAGGAGCATTTGGGACAGACATCTCCCAGTAGAAAATACCCTACAAATGATGATTTTGTAAATATTTAGCTTATTACTAACTCAGTGAATACCTTGGGTTTGAATAGACAATAACATCCATCCATCCATCATTTAAACCGCTTATCCTCCTGGGTCGCGGTGGGGTGCTGGAGCCTATCCCAGCTGTCATTGGGCAGAAGGCAGGATACACCCTGGACAGGTCGCCAGTCCATCGCAGGGCAGACAGACGGACATACAATAACATAATTCTTGTAAATATCTAAAGTCTGTACTGAGCAAAAATGACTTGACTTGAAAGGTACAGACATGTATTGTATTGGCCACATGGTCATCCACATGTTGGAGATTTAGTCTAAAACAATGTTAGATTTTGCATCCGTCTTGATTAGGCTGTTCATATTCTATAAGCATTTGACTTCAGTGTATTTCATTATTTATTCTTCAGCTAAAAACAGCTCACATGTGGCCATCACTGAGCACCACAATAAGGGTCTGTCATACACAAGCAACAGAGGTTTTACTTCATTTATGTTCCTCATTTTACCTCCTGGTTTCTTCTCTGTAGCTACAAAGGTTCATTGGGAATCTTTTGAAGCACATGATTTAACTTTTTTTTAAACGGAAGGCTTTACTGAGCAGAGGAATATGTGTTAGTGTTGGGATAATAACTGAACAGTAATATTTGCCGTGCTGTAATAAACATCAACTCCTTGAGTAAACGGCTCGTAAAACTGTCTGCATTGTCTGCTATTGTAAGAGCTCTGTGTTGAACACTAACACACATAAACAATGTAAAGTGCTATAAAAACAGAGATAAGCTTCTGTGCGGTTTGTACTGGCAGTATTGAGGATTTAAATGTGTGAGACAGAGATTGTCTGAGGGGGTCATTCTGTAATGAGCAATGTTCCTAGAAGCTGTAACAGTGGACGCAAAGGACCAAATCAGGATTAGCTTGCTCCATTGTATTTAAAGGGCCCATATCCTTCATTTTTTCATATTTTATTTTTCTCCTTAAAGTCTACTTATAACTTTTGTGTGAGTCCCCAAACCGTTCATAATTCATTTTTACATGGCTTTTACATTACATTTTCTAACTGTTTCATACTTTTTAAGCCTGATATGTGTAAATGACTGATATATATGTTCTCTGTTGTTATTGGCTGCCCTGTATTGTGCATTCAAAAAGCAGGAGGGTCACTCATAACTTCAGCGTTAGTGGATGGGGCTAAACTACTGAAGGGTGAATAGGCAGATATAAATGCATCAGCTTCTATAACATGATTTAAACAGATTTAATGCACAGGCACACCTGGGCTGAAGCCCAGGGGGCCCAAGTGCTTTAGGGCCTCTGATTGACCTTTTTTTAATGAGATTTATTTATCTTCCCTCTAATCATTTACACACATACACTGTTGATGGGTTGTGTTCATTCAAAACATCAGAACAGATGCAGATTGGTGACTGTTTTGGATACATTTAACTGGAAAGTTAAAACCAAATACCAGTCTGGTTCTGGGTTTAAGTCAATGCAGTAATGGAGAAATGATGAATGGCTATGCTGAAAGTTGCTGACTGGTGGCGATGGTGTGTACACCTTCATTAAAACAAAGGACGCTCTGTTTCATTCAGTTATATGAGGCATTGGTTCTGCTGACCGTCAGCCAAGTGACTCTGTCCATGCTTACTAAATCTGCTGTAATTTGTACACATCGGTCAGGCAGGAACTCGGTTGTGTCATGTTGAGTTATACTGATTTTATGGATTCTAACTAGACCCTTAGGGCCCCAGATCAGATTAAAGCACCCCTGTTTGTTTTATGGACTGTATGGACTGAAGAGTGAAGAGTAACTTTTGAAATGTTTGACAAATGACATAAAACTCCTTTATTTCAGAAAAGTGAGGTAAATTTGTTTTCCCAAGATACAGGCACTTAAAGAAATAGCTCAGCAAAACTATTGCTGCTACAACTGTTTGTAGATATGCAGCATACTTTTCCTCTACGAGAAGAGTGTGCCAGTCGAGGACTGAAAAAACTTCAAATGGCTGACATGATTCTACGTAAGGGTGTACGATTGATTTGGAAAATAGCTAAATTTCTCATACGTAAGATATAATCTGTAAACATAGTATGTGCAATTGAAGCGGCTTTATTTTGCAACCTTTGTTTTGATAACTGAAACTTTTGCATCTTGCCTGTTAGCTGTAAATCTATAACTCACATGTATCTGAATATATGCTAGATGTTTGCCGGTTGTCGACACACTGGCTGGTTATGTTTCTGCTGCATGGAGCTAAATGAGCCATGTAAAAAACAAAACATATCCTCATCCACATTACGCACAGCGGTGTTACATGCTGGGAAAAGCAGCCAGTTTCCAAGCTGTACTGATCCCAGTTTTTAAGTGCGTCTGCAGTAAAATGCTCATTACAAACTCTTGTACTGGGTGACACTTCACCCCCAGAAATTTTGCTTTCATCTCCTTATTTGGAACTGAATACTGAGTTTTTTTAATTGAATGCACAAATGTGCTAAATCATAAGTATGACGATACAGACTTTTTGATAATGAATTTTTAGTACGATGGAAAAATGCTGTGCTGGGCCTTTAATGCTAGGGGGTTCTGGGGTTTACTCGAAAAATAAAAAGTGTCTTTCTCATACAATGGTCCCTACGCCTATGCTGTTTAAATAATTTAAGAGGCATGTTGTTTGTTTATTTATTTATTATTAATAATTCAATTCGAGTGTACATTGCTCAAGTGCACATATACTTTTCAGCCTCTTTTTTCAGCTGTTTATGGTTTTTGGTCAGAACATCTGACCCCTGAGCTACACCTCATTGGAAGTTCTTGCTACATCAAGTTTCAGCATCAACAACAGATACAGTCCCATGCCAATCAATCAGTGTGGCAATCTTATTGAATAATGCTGAATTCCTCTGAATCTACTGAGAATACAAAGCTGCAAGTCATTCTGTTTACTGTAGCTAAAGTGGTCTAAAAACAGGATTTCAGTTCGTACTGAAGAAAACAGGCAAGGGTAAAAGAAACAATAAAGAAAAACAGACACATATGCTGAATAGTGTTTTACTGGAATTTGAGTCGTATTTGGTAATTCAGCACAGCATACCGAATACAGGCTGCAGCTTAATGTAAAATGTGCTCATTTCGTTAGAGTTTCTAGTGTCCCATTTTAACAGCATATTTTATACATCATTAAAATGGTATTTTATGACACTTTCATTTTGACAAATGTCAATTAAATCATAAATGCACAGTCATCACAGGTTGTGTTCGTCATGCAGGCTTTGCCAATACTCTAAGGTCTACACACTATGTACAGTACAAAGATTTTCAAGATTACAGGCTATATGCAACTGATTGTAGAAATGATTATTTAAAGACCAGCAAATCTTACCAGCCAATAATCTGCTTAACAAAAACATATTCTTAACTCTCAAGTGCATAAAGCCCATATTCATTTAATGACAATCAGAAATCTGACATTCAACACTGTATTTCTATCTTTTTGTGATATGCTGGAGAATACAGACAGCATGTGTTAGTTCAAGAGCTTAGTCTGCAAATCACAATCCCCTCTCACTTGCGCACCTGAATGGACTTTCTTTTTAGATACTATTATTGGATGATTAGCCATTGTGGTACAGTCTGATTGGACCATTCAGGCTGGGTGGTTGGTGTGGCTGGAGAACGCTGGTTCCTAGGCTTGGTTTCTTGCCCTGAGAGATCACAGCCAACAACATGAGGACCAAATTGGCAAGGTCACTCATGAGGCGATTCACAGGGTCATCGGCATACAAGAGGAAGAGGAAGTGATGAGATGATATGAGGCACAGTGGCTCTGGGCAGCATTTGGCAGGTTTCAGATTGTCACTTGCTGCTTCTCTGTCCCTGTGAAGAGAT